CATTATTGCACGCAGATTCTTGGCTGCCTGATGCCACCAAAAACCATCGTAGACACACGAAATGGTGCTGTCCTTCGAAAGTGTCGTGTTCCTTCCATTGTGTCGTCCGAACTTTGTGTAGTCACGGGGAGTCCAGCGGATGCCCCTGGGGTTGTCACTCCCATCGCAAAGGCCATAGTGCAATGTTGGACGTCCAGAAGTCGATAGACTGCGTCCATTGCTCGTTGTTTCAAGATGAACTATCCTAACCCTGAGCCCCGAAAACACTCAACACTAGGACATGCGAGGCAGCGCTTATCCACAAACCTCGGCGACCAAGCCCGGCATCAGCTCCACCAGGCGTTCCAGATCAGTGGCCATCGTCGAGTGAGACTCGGCCAAGAATAGGACGTCCAAGGGAAGGGCCGCCGACCGGTTTGTTGGGGTGACGCCGACAACCGAGAGCGTGACGTCTGACGGCCAAGTAGCGGTGGCATCGGCGATTACAACCTGGGCGCCACCGGCGACACGGCGAGACACGAAACAAATCAGGGTAGAGTGTGTGCCGGTAGCGGTAATCGACCGACCTCGAAGGTTGCTGATGTAAGCAGATTCAACATCGGGAAATCTTGAGTAGAAAATGCATGGGGTCAGACACATGCTGTACGTTTTGTACTCGGCGTGTTGACAGGACGTTTCATGACGAGCAAAGAGGGTGATAGAGGCCGAGGGTCGTGAGCAACACACGGTCAAAGGGTGCACACTACATCGCCCACATCCGGTCACCGGAGCGGCGTTGTCGCTTCACTCAACATTCTTACATTTTCTTGTCTTCCTCCACCAACCTACGTACGTGAGCGGCACGCCAAGCGTCAAGAGCGACGGCTCGGAGTACATGTTTCTGTCCTAACGCCTCACTCTGATATTTGCCCCAACCCCACCCACACCCACCTCAGCGGTTGCCGGCGACAGTTCCCCCCCGCCGATGCCCAATCCTGTCGGGAGCATCGTGGTGCGCACAGCGCTCGTGAAGTCGGCCTCTTCTATCGTCACGACCGCCTCGGCGCTGACATCGTGGATGCCCCCGTTCACAACCGCGGAGCCCGCGCCGCTGACGGCCGTGACACCAATGGTAACGCCTTCGCATCCCTCGTCGGGATCGTTGTCGTGCACGACAGGGAGGGAGACCACGCTCTCGGTCTGCCCGTCATCGAAAACTACCTGTTTTTTCCGTCGGTGTTGGCGCAGTTTGTTGATTGGGGAAACAGAATCCAAGAGGGCACCGGCAGAATGACTTGGGGGCCCGCTCGCGTCCTAAAAAGATTTGTTTCAAGATCGTCGTGCCAATATCTTGCCGGGCATTGTTAGTGGTACATGATGATTGTGGGGTTGTACGTTTGCTTCTGGGCTCCACTGTGAGTTTCACGTCTCTAGCAACGTTGCTAAGGCGGGTTAAGCCGCGCGGCCGTCCGAGAACTAATTAAAAACATTTTTTTCGGGGCGCAAGCCTAATTTTTGGTGTCGAACGAAGGAGGCGACGCTCTGATGGTGTCGTCGGGCGTCCAAAAGGTTTTTCGCCAGACCCTTAATACCTCGTGGACCGAGTCGTAGCAACTCTCCTTGCACAACCGAGTACACACAAACGTTCTCTTCTTTTGAACTCCGAAACCACCACACAAACGACATGATGCCATCCCGCTTGAACATGAGATTTATTGTGCTCACACAATATGTTCTGTTTCCCACGCGTTTCCCACTCGCGCCGTGCCGATATAGTCACATGCCGACCCCGAAAGCAAGTCGCAACGGCAGCAGCGACATACAACGAGCCCTCCCTGCCTGCTTCCTGCACTCTAACTGGAGGGCAACCCCTCCGCACCTGAATCGGCCACGTCCCGCCAAAATCGGAGACTTCGGTGGCGTTTCCTCCCGTCACGTCGAGGTCGACGGTGACCTCCCCGTCCGACCCCACGAGCCGAACGAGCGTCAGGCTTACGGTGCCCCCCGATTCAGCGGTACCCACCACCGCGGAGTCGTAGTTAAACCCGAACACCCCGCCGCAGCCGTCGCAGGTGCCGCTGGAGCAATCCACGCTATCGAACCCGGTGCTGAGTGAAGGGGGGATTTTCCACGTAATTTTGGAGGCATTTGCAGACGGTTGGGGGGAGGGGCGATGCCTTCAGAGGTAGTCGAATACACTTGGTGACGAGGGAATAGGGACGGAAAGGGGCAGGAACTGCAACTCACTGGGCGTTCTGAAGCCCCAAGGTGATATGCTATTTATTGTCCATTGCCTGGGAATACCATCTGGAATCATCAACGTTGGACAGCAGACAATCAAACTCGTGAATTTGTTGTCCATTTTCTTGTTCGTATTTCTGGTTGTCGTTCGAAGGCACTAGTGACCAGTGAGAGAATTTGTCAATGGGTACGAGACCTGTAGGAGGGGGCGACGTCCACATCCTCTAAAAGAACCCCCAAGAGGTTGATGAAGGCACCGTTGAGGGTACAACGGTGCCTCCACGGTAGTGTCACCAATGCCCAAACTCGGGGCGCCTACCTTACACACGTCCAGCCACGCACTATGTCCTCACTTGCCGAAGCCTTGGTGGCCGCATGGACGATTACTAAACTCACTTGCAATCGCACACGCCAAGGTAGCAGTCGCCGACACCGCTGCAGGTCTCGCCGTTCGGCCCGACGGGACACGAGGTGTTGGTGATGCAAGCCAAGCAAGTCTCGTGTGCGCTGTAGGACAGTTGCTCCTCGGGGCACGCGGAACACAAGTCAGAGCCTGCCGCATCGACGACGTCCACGCTGTCATTTGTACTTATTGCGCCGGGTTGAGTCCTTTGTTACGGGCGATTGGTCATATTATATCTGGTTCGATGATTGATTGGAATTCCTAAAGCGGACCGAACAAGATCTCCGGTTCACTTCGTGTTCTGGCCGCTCCCCGCCACTCACACACTGAATGAAGAGATTAATACACTCGTCTGCACACGGGGTACCGTTCAACTTGATGATTTCATCTTCTTCTTTGTGTACCGTTCGGGCGGAGGGGGAGCACTGCACGCCACTAAACCTCCGGAACTCTTGTGTCCCGATGCGGATGCTCAATGGACCAACTTTAAGCCGAGGCCATACTCCACAAGAAGTACAGCCACTGAAATCCACTTTATTTCTTTCGCCAAAGGATGAAAGACGTGTTGCGCCGGTACAGCCTTAAAACCTCAAGAGCGCATGACGAAAATCGCCTTAGCAGCAGCAGCTTTCTATCGAAGGCTCACCGATGGTGTCGGCGAAGAAGCCCCCCACGCATTTGGTGCAGTACATTTCTTGCGCCGCTTCGTATGTCGAGGTGAACTCCCCCCGTGGGCAATCCTTCAGGCATGACCGAGAAGAAGAGAAGCGCCCCGGGAAGGGAAGCGGGGCGTATTCATAAGGTTTCAGCTTTGACGATTGGACCGTTGACCACGCATGCGCCCCTGCGAGATGAAGAACTTTCCAACTCTTTGGAATGACTCCACCAACAAACGGACAAAGTGATTGAGATCTCGCCGTGCTCCACATGAGAAAACTATTTTTCGCCTTTTCCACTTCCTTGTCGGATTTCATGCCCACCATTCGTCTCCTAGAGTGCCTATCGTTTTCGCCAACCTTTCGCGGGTACCAGTTCAGTAATATTTGTTTTTTTCTTCGTGGGTAGCTTCGGGGAGGTCCATATTCCTTTCCTGTACATATGACCAAGCTCTACACACCTCTAACGTTACACGCAACGAGCCCATGCGCATGATTTCACACCACTTTGAATCCTTCGTGCCAGCAAGAGGGAGCGCGTTGGACTGGCTGAGGTCGAGACATTGATCGCGACGCGGGCTGCGAGAGAGACTTTGAGTTATGGGACATGACGCGATGCCTTCGAAAGTGGTTAAATGTTTCGCAGAAATGAAAGTCAGCACCCCCTCCCTTGAAAGCCCAGCAGATACCTATCGTCTCCCACCTGGCATCCGCCGCCTTCGATAAGAGCAACGGTTCGGGTACCCGGGGGGCACGGCAGACAGTCCTCCGTGCTGTTAGCGCCGGCGGCGAGAGTTGTGGATCCCTGAGGGCAGTACTCACACTCCCCGATTGACACTGAACCTGTTGTTGGGGGCGGCCGGCAGTATTTGGAGAGGGGAACACAGAGACGTTTCTTTCGGAAACAGGATAAGAGGCAAAGGCAATGCGACCGAGTTGCCGTCTTGAACGATCATGCCCCTTGCATACGTTGGCAAAATAACGTGTTTTGGCATTGTGGGAAGGGTCTCATCGAGCTTGCTCCAAGAACGACAGTTTGTGGATCAACTTCGAGAAGCAAGACGGGAAAAAGCTTGCAGGGGGCGTGATCGGTGCCAACCGGGTCCGTCGGAGATTTGCCAGTGCCATGTTTTTCCGTTGCAAGGCGAACTATTAAAACCAGGTCACACGCTGCCCGAAAGTCTGTCGATGCATTCAAGCCAGAAAATACGATGTACAAATCCGTTTACCTGTGACGTCGACGTAGGTGCCGACGGGACATAAGTCGCACGTCTCCGAACCGTCCAGGGTGCTATACTGCCCGGCGACGCAATCCTGGCAGCTGCTTGACCCCACTGCCGCGAACGTCCCACTCAAGCACGTCTGGGCGTCGCGTTGCAATTATTTCGACGACCATTTTTTCAATCAGTTGAGCACTGTCGTTTGTGTTGTGTGCGTGTGTTTTCCAGCAGGGAGTCTTCGATTTACACGGGTAATGAGATATGGCGAAGCAATGGTGTTTACGATAGATCAATCGACCAGCTCAAGGAGGCTGACGATGGTCGTCGGCCTATACTTGTTTTGGGATTCCGACCAGCTGCCGCAGGTCTTCGAGGGGGTTCCGATCCGAGAAGCGTTTGTTCATCACCCCCCTTAGAGTGCTTACCACCCCCCCCACGGTGTTTGCCATCGGGGTTGGGTTTTCGTCGCTTGGCAACGACGTTGTAAAACAAGCCGCCCCCCCCTCCAATCTAGACTTCAGTGGGTTGGCGCTGTTGGCAAAGAAAGCGCCGAAAAACACGCCACCCCAAATATAGCCCCCATAGTATGCGCTACCAAAGACGCGTGACGCATGGATGCGTGGAGTGAGGATTGCTTACGGAAACCTCACAGGTTGAGTGATGTAGGAGATTGCCGGACACATAGACGTGTTGAGTGATTATAGCTGTATACTGAAACCCCACGGAAAGGGGAGGTTTGAGATTGCCAGACACATAGACGGGTTGCGTGGGGATAGCTGCTGGAACCCCACGGGTTGAGTGATGTTGGAGTGCCGGACACATAGACGCGTTGAATGAGGATAGACACATATTGAACCTCACAGGTTGTTTGTATTGGAGATTGCGAGACACCTAGACGTGGTGTGTGAGGATAGCTGCATACTGAAACCTCACAGATGCATTGGTTTTTGACTTTGCCGGACACATAGACGTGTTGAGTGAGGATAGCTGCATACTGAAACCTCACAGATGGATTGGTTTTTGAGTTTGCCAGACACATAGACGCGCTGCGTGGGGATAGCTACATACTGAAACCTCACGAGTTGAGTGATGTTGGATAGTGCCGGACACATAGACGCTTTGAGTGAGGAAAGACACATACTAAAACCTCACAGGTGATTTGTATTGGAGATTGCCGGACACATAGACGTGTTGAGTGAGGATAGCTGCATACTGAAACCTCACAGATGGATTGGTTTTTGAGTTTGCCAGACACATAGACGCGCTGCGTGGGGATAGCTACGTACTGAAACCTCACGAGTTGAGTGATGTTGGATAGTGCCGGACACATAGACGCTTTGAGTGAGGAAAGACACATACTAGAACCTCACAGGTGATTTGTATTGGAGATTGTCGGACGTATAGACGCGTTGAGTGAAGATACCTGCATACTGACACCTCAAAGATAGGTTGGGTTTTGAGTTTGCCAGACACAGTCTAGACGCGCTGCGTGGGGATAGCTACATACTGAAACCTCACGAGTTGAGTGATGTTGGATAGTGCCGGACACAGACGCTTTGTGTGAGGAAAGACACCTACTGAAACCTCACACTTTGATTTGTATTGGAGATAGCCGGACAGATAGACATGTTGAGTGAAGATAGCTACATACTGAGCCCTCACAGATGGATTGGTTTTTGAGTTTGCCAGACACATAGACGCGCTGAGTGGGGATAGCTACATACTGAAACCTCACGAGTTGAGTGATGTTGGATAGTGCCGGACACATAGACGCTTTGAGTGAGGAAAGACACATACTGGAACCTCACAGGTGATTTGTATTGGAGATTGCGAGACACCTAGACGTGTTGAGTGATAGCTGCATACTGAAACCTCACAGATGGATTGGTTTGTTTTGAGTTTGCCAGACACAAAGACGCTTTGAGTAGGGATAGCTACATACTGAAACCTCACGAGTT